TGTCCAACGTGGATTACCTTCACGGCGGCGCCGAGTCCTTCCTCACAGTCACAAACCTGCTCCTGGGTAAGCGCATGCGCACCGCGCCCTTCCTGCTGGATCTATGCATGCTGGGGCAGTGTCACTGGGCTGGTGCCCCACAGGCACCAGCTCGGAATCCTGTTGAGACAATCCTCGGCCCATCACATTTGCAGTGCTGGGCGCAAAGCAAGGGCTGGATCGGTACCAGGCCACGCCAAAGGACCTTGCCAACGAGGAAGACGAGGCGTAGGCAGCAGATCCTCCCTTCACGCGAGTGCTCCTCTGCAAGTACAGCACCCCTGCCACCACTCCTTGTAGCAGTCTGCGTGTCTGAGCAGGTTTGCCGAGGGCGTCTCTCGTATTATATCCATGTACATGTACAATAGCCTGCATCAGGCAGCACCCTGCCTCAGCTTGCGGCCTCCATCAGCCTCCAGAGCTGGTTGGTGGCCTCAAAGCGGGGCATCTGCGGGGCCAGGTCGAAGAGCCGCACATCCGCCTTTTCAGGATCCGAGACCGTGCCCGCAATGCGGTCGGGATTGTCGAACCGCCAGCTGATCTTGGATACGTGGGCGTACAGGCTAAGCTGATGCCTGTGCAAATGGTGATAACGTAATTTGGTGAAAGGACTCCTTCACAGCGAGCCGGGAGGACCAGTCCAGAGCACTTGCCAGGGCGGTGCTCAAAAGGGCCTGCCCTGCCAGTGACCCACAAGTTCCATTGCCACTGGGCGCTGCCGGGGGCATCGCACCTGATGCGAGGCTCGTCCTCCAACAGCAAGTGGTCCACTTGCGCCTTCTTTAGGCCGACCTCCTTCATGCTGCTGCCCAGCTGCTGGCGTTGCTTTCCCAGGGCCTCCAGCTCTGTGGTGAGCTGGGCCACATGCTGTTTCGAGGCAGCCACCCTGGCCTCCAGCTCACGCAGTCGGGCATCGTGTGCACCCTCTTCCTCTGGATACACCGCCTTGATGCGTGCCTCCTCCACTCTGGAGCTGAGGGCTGTAAGGGAGCAATGGAGGAGGGATGCAGGCCCTTGTTTCCAGAGGTAATCCATCCCTGCATATTGCCCTGTGTCAGAACGCTCACGGCGCGAGGACAATACACCTTGTATAGCTTGCTTGACCGTGTCTTCTCGGGAGCTCAACAAGCCCTCCAACTCCTCCTGTATCCCCAGCAGTTCGCGGATAGTGTCGGTGTCGTCATGCCGGGCATAGTTGTCCCGCAGGGCTGCGATGACACCCAGGTGCTCGTCGAAAACGTCTCCCGTATTCATTGCAAGGTTTTACTTATAATGGATGTAAATCTGCGATCTTCGGCTGTACACCTGTAGTGTCGAACAGGAAGCTGTCGGGTGACTTAAAATTCGCGCTCAGATCGAGCGCAGGCGCCTTCCCGTGAACATGCTCTCCGAGTCCATGGACAAACCAGTGCTGTAGGCCGATCTGACAGCTGTTTCACCAAAAATCCTCCTGAACTGGTACAATAAGGTTATGGTGCGGCACCTTCACCGATCACAGCAACCCCCTCGGGATGAGGTTTGTCGGTGCTGAGCCTACTCAAGCCTCGCGAATGAAAAGCTAGTATGCATGGAGTGCAGTCGACTCGCTGCCTGGGGGGCACCGGGTCCCTTCGCTCCTACAAATGTACCAAGTCAGGAGGACCCCTGTGTGACCTACGGTCGCTGGAGACGAAGACACAAAAGGAAGGAGTGCCCTGCAGCTCCGGCTGTGGAGCCTTCATGTGGACTCGACGCAGAGAGGTGGCTCGAGATGAACCAGGGAGCGCTGGGCCTGCTTCTGATGGCAGCCCCCGGACACTCTCACGCGCTGCAGAGTCCAGTAGAGCTGACGGAGGGCGGCGTGGAGGCACCCTCACAGCCAGGGAGTTTGCTGGACTTTGAACTGGCCACACCCCCGCTTCGAGTTGGGTACCAGGTGAGGCACCTCGGTTGGTGCAGTGAGGTTTCAGTATCTCCTAGGCAGGTTTTATTGGAGCTGTCTTGGGAGAAGATCTTCCTCGCCACAAACCCAGGTCATGTTCGATGCTTCTCCACCCTCCTGCCCACCATGCAGGGAGACTGGCTGGATGTCAGCCCTGCCATGCTTGCAACATGGGACATCAGCCCCCTGGAGCCCATGGGGGAGCCAAAGCATCTGCATGCCTACGCCCTGTGCCAAACTGGCTGCAAGGAGGCCACGCACGCCTTTTGCAAGGTGCATACCGTGGCTGTGTGTGTGTGGATGTAAGCCACTGCGTCGCTGGTGTGGCCACCATGTCTTGGCCTGCTGTGCACCTTTTGTCAAGACGTATCATCCGAGCCCTGGTCCCGCCCGTGCACAGGATGTGGGCGCCTGGTACGGAATGTGCGGCCTGGGCGAGATGCGGTGTCCCCCAGACTCGGTGCAGACGTGGTGGGGATCCGAAGCGACAGGCGAGGAGGAGGGCGGAGGCTCGTTCGCAGCCGCGCTCGCCGACACCGTGGACCGCATGGTCGCCGACGCCGCGCAGCTGCCGCGACTGGGGCCCTCCGACGCGCTCTCCACCCCTCTCCTCCCCAGCGCCGTGCTCTTCCTGGTGTGTCCCCAGGGCCCGGCCCCCGCACGGCTGCTGCAGGCCGCTACGGAGGCGTGGGCGGCGGCCGCCCTTGCGGGGGGATTGGCGGGACGCGGTGAGAGGCCGCAGGAGAGCTGGCTCACGGGGCCGGCCACGCCCCCCTGCGTCGACGCGCAGGCGCCGCCCTACGGCGCGGCGGGGTCGGAGCTGTACAGCGGGCGCGGCGTGCCGGACCCCGGGCTGGGGAACGATGGTGCGCAGCACAGCCAAGGAACGGGGGGCCAATCGTCAAGTGACCGCCCTTCCTCGGCCCAGCATGCGGGCGACAAGTGTGCTCCCGACGGCAGGCCCCCCCCGCCTGCCGTCCCTCCTGGTGCACCTGGTGCCAGAGTCTGCCGTCCTCGACCTGGGCCCCTGCGGCGCCCGCCAGGCCGCCTTCCTGGCCTTTGCAGCTTCTTCGAACGTTCCCACGGAGGGTGCAGGGCCGGGGCCTCAGGACCCCGGCGCCCTGGCCGGCCTCACAAGCGCGCTGCACTGCGTGCACGTCGCCGTCGCGCCCATGAGACCTGGCCTGGCCGCCCTGACGCGCGCCTCGCCCGGCGGCTGCGCGGAGGCCGTCGTGGTGCAAGCCGCGGCCGGCGCCGCGCTCGCCGCTGAGGTCCTGGGCGCCTGCCGGCGCCTCGGCTGGTGGGCGGGCCCGGATGCACGGCGGCGGCTGGTGGTGTCCCGCCCCGGCCCTGTCTCGGGTGTCGAGGCGGGGGGCTGGCAGGCTGCGCTGATGGAGTCTGGGGCGCAAGGCAGCTGCTGCGTCGTGGAGCTCCAGGTCCAGGGCGCCAGGTGAGGGCATGGGGGGGGGGAGAGGGGGGGATGCCTGGCCGAGAACTTGAATCCCATCACCCACCCTCCTCCTTCTCAGCTGCCGCTCCCACTTGGCACCTTTGGCAGCAGCGCAAGGGAGGTCGCGGCTGCCGGCTCGTGGGTGGCGCGCAGGGAGGCACAGGCCGGGCCGGTGCTGCTGTGCCCGCTGGGCGCGGGGTGCACGCTGCGTGTGCGGCCGGTCGTCGGCACAGACAGCCCCGACGAGGCCAGCCTCCGCGAGATGGTGTCCGACCTCCAGGCGCTGGCCGTGCTGGGAGCGGCCACTGCCCAGCTCACAAACTCGCCGGGTGGGGGCGATGCGCACCGTCCCTGGCCGGCCCACGCTCAGGGTTGCCTGCATGCTGCGACGCTGCTCCTGGCCTTGACCCGTGCGTCAGGCCGGACCGGTGCCGTGATGTGAAAACATTGTATCCAAAGAGGTGCATGCCCTGCATCGGGTCCACGGCCTGGGCACACGGCGCGCTCACTGACGAGGCTGCACCACCAGGCACAGCTGTACCTCGAGTTCCTTCTTTCCAATCATTAGCCCGGAACCCGGCCCGGTGCACACAGGATTGACCAAGACCAGGATGTTGCATTTTCGCGGTCGAACGCCTGCAGAGCATGAGGGAGGCAGGGAGCAAGACATGCCCCGCTAGTATCTGGAGATGACGCCGGCAAGCAGCGCCTGCTGGGGTCAAAGGCTCTGACCACGGTCAGGATGGAGACCGGGTCACACGAAGCAAGTGCTCCCCATCCCACTGCACAGAGGTCGCCCACAGCCGCATGTGCAGCATTTTCGCTGCCTCCACACCCTTCGCAACGACATGGGGGTGGAGGGCGCCCCCCACCATGCCCCAATGCTGCACACACCCGGCACCCCTACACAATCCTCGAGAGCCCCGTCCTCCTTCCCATGCTCGGGGTGAGTCCGGTGTGCAATAGCTATCGCAATCTCGAGCACAGACCTTGCTCCTCCTCAGGGCAAGACCCTGGACTCGCAGGTGGAGCCCTCGCCCTCGACATCCCTGCTGATGTATCACCCGCTGCCGCTGTTCCAGCCGGGGGCCAAGGGCCCTTCCCGGGCCAGCATGGAGGCCCACCGGGACTCCCCCCCACTTGAGCTGGCCGGTACCATGCCTTGGGCATTCCCCTACAACTACACCTTCAATGCGCCGTCCCGGAACCGGCAGGTGGGTGGAGTGGTGCACCATGCAATGGAAGAGCAGGTGGTCGTTTCCCTTGCCGCTGATGTCTCGGAGCGCAGGTGCCCTCTGTCATGCAGCGACGTGACGAAAGTCTGCCTCCATCTTCTCCCCCTGTGCAGGCTGCTGCCAAGGCCGCAAACACACACAAGGTTGTTCCAGAGAAGGTGCGCATGCGGTGAAGGGGCGCTGTGTTCCTTGAAGTCCTACTGCAGTTGCTGGGGCTTTAAGTGGCCTTGGTGGTGACTTTCAAGCCATGTCACCATACTAAATTATCGTAGAAAGCTCAGAAGCGACGCAGCAGTACATCACGGGCCGAAAGCTGAATTGCACGCAAAGATGCCGCCTGCAAGGGCATGAGCACCCATACCTCGCCCCATCTCGCAGGACCGCCCCCGGCGAGAGAGCACTGCCAATGAGGACGGCTACAACTGGAGAAAGTATGGGGAGAAGCACGTGAAGGGCAGCTCCTGCCCCCGCTCCTACTACAAGTGCAGCTTCCCAGGGTGCCAGGTGAAGAAGATCATAGAGCGCAACCTGAAGACCGGCTTCGTCTCCGTCTGCCTCAGCAAGGTGAGCGGGCAGGGTCTGGACTGGCCTGGAGAATTGGACTCTGCCTGATTGCTGAGGGAGGGGTGATGGGAGTGCAGGGACAGGAGTGATGGCCACAGCACAACGTGCCTGTGCCTCTGCTCGGCATGAGTTGGCTCCGGTGATAGCATCCATCCCCAAAGGGGACGCCAATGATCTGCACAATCCCTCAGCACCAGCTCCATTCTCAGGATGGCAAAGTCATGAGCAGCATACACTGAATCCTCCCCTCCTGCTCTGCATGCTCTCACCGCATGTCTCCCCTGCACCATTCCCTCCCAGGGCACGCACAATCACCCCCGGCCCTGCAGCGTGCGGGCGGGGGCAGCCACCCCGCCCCTGCCAGGGGCGTCGCCCCTCGTCGGCGGCCACGTCGGCGCCTCCCCCGGCCCGGCGCACAGCCCCGACAGCGAGTGCTCCACCCCCCAGCCCCCGCCGGGCCCCGGCGCGGCCGAGGCCGAGGCAGGCGGCGACGGCCTGACCGACGGCGGCGCGGCAGCCGCCCTGCAGCTGCTGGGCACGGGGTTCACGCCCGAGGCCCCCGGCCTGGGGCTGTGCATGGCGGACACGCCCGCCGCCCTCCTCCCCATCCCCGCCAGCCTCCGGACCGACACCCCGGCCGGCGCGCGGTGGGGCGGGGTGGTCGAGGGCTTCGCCGGCGCCTGGTGGGCCTGCCCCTGGCCCCCGGCCTGCACACGCACGGCTGCGGTGGCGGCGCCGGCGACCCCGCGTCACTGGACCCCCCGCACGGCATGCGCGCCGGCGCGCACGAGGACGCCGCCGTCGACGGCGCCACCTCCTCCGACGACCTGGCCGACGACTCGGCGCTGGAGGACGAGGTGGGCTCCGACGACTCGGCCGCCTCGCTGGGCCGGCTGTGGGAGAGCCCGCCCCGCCGCTTCCGCTGCGAGACCCCCCTGGTCGCGCGCCTGGCGCTGGAGGCGGCCGAGGCGCTGGGGTCGGCGGGCCCAGCGGCAGGCCTGGCGGGCGCGGGGGCGGAGCTCACGCCGCGCGCCGCCGCGCCGGGGCCGGGCGGCGCGGGCAAGCGGCGCCGGGCGCGGCCCAGCCGCCTGCTGGACCACGAAGACCTGCAGGGCATGCAGGACGTGTTTGGCGACGACGACGAGCTCAAAGGTGCTGGGCGTTTTTGTTTGATTTTTGGGGGGTTTATGCAGGCTGCCGTTTCACCTCACATACGCCCTCTCAATCGGCTGCTCACATTTCACCGTCCTCATCACGAAACACATGCTCCACCGCAGCCCTGCGCAACGTGAGCGCGCAGCGGCGGGGCGAGGAGGGCGCCCGGCGCGGGCGGCGCCCACTCGCGCCGGCGGCGTCCGCCCCGCCCTCCGCGGGCGGCGGCGTCACGGGTCCTGGGCCCGAGGGCGAGACCCCGGCCCCCGCGTCGGCGCTGCGCTCGCCCGACCCCGGCGCGGGCGGCGCGTCGGCCAGCCCCGGCGAGGAGCGGCAGGTGGTGGAGCTGGAGACGGACGCCGACAACCTGGACGACGGGTACCGCTGGCGCAAGTATGGGCAGAAGATGGTCAAGGGCAACCCGCACCCGCGCTCCTACTACAAGTGCACGCACCCCGGGTGCTGCGTGCGCAAGCAGGTGGGGCGCAGCAGCCGCGACGCGCGCCTGCTGTCCACCACCTACGAGGGCACGCACACGCATCCGCCACCGGCCCCGGCCACCGCGCTGCGGCCCGTGGCCCGCCGCGCCAGCGTGGGCTGTGGGGGGCCCGGGCGCCGGGCGTCGGGCGAGGCGGAGGGGCCGCTGGCCTCCCCCGCCCCGCGCCTGCCGGCCTCCGCGCCGGAGCTCGGCGCGCTGTCCCCCGCCGCGCAGCACCGCTCCACGCACTTCTTTGCGGCGACGACGGCGCGCGGCGCGGCGGGGCCGGTGGCGGCCTTCGGCCTGGCGCCGGGCCAGGTGGCCGCCGCGCTGGCGGCGGGGCTGCAGCACCCGGGCTGCCTGCCCTTTGCGCTGCGGGACGCGGCGGCGCTGGCGCAGCAGGGCGCTGCCGGCGCCGGCGCGGGCGCGCTCGGGCTGGGGGCCCGGGCGGAGGCGCGGCAGTGAGCGGCGCCTGGCTGCCTGGGAGAAAGAATGGCGCTGGGTGCCCCTCAGCACCGCGCCCTGGCCGCGCCCGGAGTGGCCGCTCAGCCGCGCCGGGCTGGGTGCATGCTCCCTCCCATACCCTCCACACAGACACAATGAGCCGGTGACGCAAGAGCTTTTCCAGCCACGGAGATTGCTTCCCTCTGCCCAAGCGCCGGTCCTGCGCAGGGGGGGCAGGCGCCTGGGTTTCGTGCCCGTTTGCCGCACCTCAATGCCAGCCGTGCCCTCGTGAACTTCATGAATCACCTTTCCCCTTGATGCCTCGATCAGTACCCTGCACGTGACCCGAAGCAGCTCGACTGCATGCTCCAGTGACCTTCATGCTCATGTTTTCAGCAGCGTCAGCCGAGCGGAGGAACGTATGAGAGCGTGGATCGGCGTCCCTTGGAACGTTTTCATGTGCTGTGAGTCAAGTTGGATTACAAACAATGTGGCCCTATTGCGTCAGGTGACAAGCAATAATGAGAGATCAGCTCCCGCCGGCGAGCACTCTCCACCCACCCGCCTCAGCCCTTCTGCGCCTCCTTCCAGCGCTTGACCACGTCGTGTGCGACGTTGAAGATGCCCTGCAGGGCCTGGCCGCAGGCCGGGCAGCGCCCCGTGCGCGCGTTCTCCTTCAGCGCGCACTGCTCGCAAAAGTAGTGCCCGCAGCGGGTCACCACGGGGTCGCTGAACTTGTGCCACGGCTCGCGGCAGGAGAAGCAGGCAAAGGGCAGGCCTTCGTCGTCCTCGGACTCGCTGCCTGCACGGGTTGAGATAGCAGTGGAGTGAAGGCAGGAGCTGGTCCTCCGCCTCCGCCTCCCACCCCCACCCTGCACAGGACCCACACCTCGCCTGCAGCCCTGCCACCCTACCCACCCGAAGCCTCTGCCTCCCCCGCGCCCGCCCAGTTGGTCAGCAGCCGCTCCCGCTCCCTCTTCTGCTTCTCCTCCCACTCGCGGTCCAGCTCATAGCCGGCCTTGTAGTCGCCGCGGTCGTGCAGGAACTTGCAGGCGTCGCCGAAGCCGCAGTACCCCGTCTCCTTGTAGTCCTTGCAGATGTCGGGCTGGTAGTCCACGCGCACCGTCATGCGCACGTTGGTGGAGGCGCGCAAGGGGCCGTGCGCCCCGCCACCCTTCTCCGCGCCGATGGTCTGCTCGCGCCGGAAGCCGGCGCGGTAGTCGCGGTAGTTGTTCATGCCTTTGTACGTGGCCCCCTCCGCGCCGCCCTCCTCCGCCTGCTGGGCCAGGACCTGCTCCCGCAGCGCCCTGGGGTGATGTGAGGGGTGAAGGAAAGGGTGGCGGAGGTGGAGAATGGACGCCTGGGAACCCGGAGTACGTGGCATGGCATGGGAATACTGAATGATTGCCTGCAGCCAGGAAGCACTGGACATGCAGACCCTGACTGGGAGCACGATGCTGTTCCCTACACCCACATCATGCAACCTCCCACCCACCAACCTGGCATCCCGGTCGTGGGCCGTCTCCGTCTCCAGGTTCCGGGTGGCCCCACCGTCCTGAGACTGCTGCAAAGTGTTGCTGCTTTCGAATGCAAACGGCCGCCCGCCCGATGCCGGCTGTTCCGTACCCTGGGCCGGAGCCTGAGTCCTCGCCGGCCGTTTTATGAGCGGAGCAAGTCCCTCACCAGCCTCCGCGCCCTCCCCTCCTGCTTCGCTTGTGGGCTTCTTCCGGATGCTGCCCCTGTTCCGGCGTTTCGCAAACACGATGGTACTGCCTTCGGGATCAGCTGATGGCTTTGAGGTGGATGCATCTCGGCTATTCCGTTCAGAAGCCTCGGGAAGAGGGCCAGCTTCTGACGTCATGCAGATGGTTCCTGAGTCCTCTGGCCACCCAGACAGTGTCGCGACGATGGCAGCCGTCCCAAGCAGGGGCACATATGATGTAGATTAAAAATACCAATGGAGAAGCAGACAAAGCTGAGATGTATGTGACCTGGTCCAGAAAAGGCGAGATCGGAACTTCTCGGTGTGAGACCACGTGGTGTCAACGGGCGCGAGAGCGTTCGTGCGTGCGCGCGACCTCCAAACCTTCACGCGACCATGCATGTACACGAGATGGATCATTGTTACCTTTTGGATCCCAGGAGGTGTTCTGTATACTGATCAGCTCGAAATTGCATTGCATACGTGCCCGAGAGACGTCTCTCTGGCATCTTCCAAACCCCCCGCACCCCGTGACAGCGCACGTAACCCATTCAGAGTAACGGGCCGTGCGTCTGCACTTGTGCGCTTAAGTGTCAGGCTCTAGACGTGAATAGATCGCCATGCGTCGGGCAAGGAGTTGCCTGGGGCGTGGTCTCCGTCAAATGATGGCCACACCGCCACTAGGTGTGGCGCAGGCCACCGAGGTATGCAGAGGAGCGGGTCTTGCAGTGACGGAAAGACAGTTAGCTTCTCCTCACAGATATTCCCACGTGTGATCCTCGCAGCCCCTCGCATTGTCAAGGCCCGCTGTAAGAGGCCTGGCATCCGGCACGCCCATCACCTCTAGAGGGGTGAGTGTGGGTGGAGCTCCCTTTGAGGGTGCAGGTGTCCAGTTGAGGCCTTACGTCTACGATACGGCCTTCTTTGGCCGACATTCAAGGGAATGGATTGGATGCTGTGCTCACTCACACCCACTGAACCCTCCATACAACCCCTTGTCGCCACAGCCGGTTTCCTATGCCAGCCTGGCGCTCACCCTCGGCACCGGAGCCGGCCTAATGTGGTACTTTGGCCAGCAGCAGGAGAAGAAGGTGGCCAGCCAGACCACCGTGGGCTCCAAGGTGGCAGGCGCTGCTGCCATCGGCGGCCCTTTCCAGCTCATGGACCAGCATGGCAAGCCCTTCAGCGACAAGAACTTGCTGGGCCAGTGGAGCCTGCTCTACTTTGGCTTCACCCAGTGCCCAGACATCTGCCCCGAGGAGCTGGAGAAGATCGTGGAGGCCAAGAACCTGGCAGGTTCGCGGCCCGGTGGCCTGGCGAGGGGAAGGGCAGTCCCTGCTGGGCATGTGCCATCGCCGGCCGGCTGTGTGCATCATACGCCTGTCCGCGGCTGCTGGTGTCTCGCGCTGGTTTTGACCACGCTCCACAATGCTCTCCACTTGGCAACCACGCATGCAGAGAAGGCTACGGGCAAGAGCATCACCACAGTCTTCATCTCTGTGGACCCAGAGCGGGATAGCGTGGCACAGGTGGCAGAGTACGTGAAGGAGTTTGACCCAAAGATGATCGGTCTGACCGGAACCCTAGACCAGGCATGTTTGACTCAGGGGCCCTTGGGGGTGGGAATGGTTGATTCGAGGCTTATCAATGGGGCGATGGCAGATTGCAAGGGGTTGATCCAGGACCATGTGGAACATGACTAGGGACATGCACATCTCCCCAGCATCCACAGGCCTGGCTGCTGTCCTCTGTCCTGTGCTTGGTGCATACACCAGCCAAGACCGGGCCCCACCCTACCTGACTCTTGATATATCCCCGCCCCGCAGACCAACGCCGCGGCGCGCGCATACCGCGTGTACCACAGCAAGACGGGGGATGAGAAGGACTACCTCGTGGACCACTCCATCATCACCTACCTGCTCAACCCCCAGGGCGAGTTTGTCACCTTTTTCGGGAAGAACATGATGGCGGCGGAGGTGGCTGAGAGCCTGGAGAAGCACCTCCGGGCGCGGTAGGCCGGCGAGGGTGGATGTCCCTGGTCGGGAGGTTGGAGTTGAATGCCAAAGGGAGGCCACACTATGTCTGCCCAACCACATGCCCGCCGACCCCTGAGTGCCTGACCTATGTGGCGCCCTCCCGGCTACAGTTGCGGAGAGAGTCCCTCCCCTGACTTCAGATGCCAGGGGCTATGGCACACCATGTACACACAAACACCATGTGCTGCACATGCTTCCCTGCAACAGTACTTGTCCAGCGGCATCCCATGACAAATCCTTCAGCCCGCCTTCTGGCGTTTCTTAGCAGCGCCACGGAACCCCTGTCCCGCAGACCTGTCCCTGTGCCTCGCCGCAGCGGCTGCAAACTCCTCCTCGCTGGGCTCGGGGTCACCGCTGGGGTTCACACCATATTTGGAAGCCAGGGCGTCGATGAAGGATGGGCCGCCGCTCCTCCTTGACCTTCGCAATGTAGCATGGGAGGGGTGGGTGGAAGGAGATGGGCGAGTATGCCAGCTAGTTACCTGCCGGCCGATACAGTCAAGAAAACGCATGCTCTACCCATCGATTTAATAGATTGCTTCCACTGACCACGCCTCCAAGCCCCCCAAACTGCCCAGTCCCTAATCCTAAAGACTCACCGAATGAGAGCCACCAGATCCGATGTGTTGCCCTTTGTCTTCTCCTTCTTGCTGCCACCTCCCTTGGCCACGCTTGTTGCCAGGTCGGGGGCTTTACGCCTCCTCACTTTCTTCTCCCAAGCCGCAAATTTCTTGGAGGGTGCCTCTCCGCTAGCCCGTAGGCCGTCGGCGATGATGTCGGCAAACCGGTGTGCATCATGCCCAGGGTCCGAGCACATCACCCATGCTAACACCTGACGGGGGTGGAGGTGAGGTGATCATAGACTGTCAACTATCAGAAATGGGAGGTTTGTGATCGCAAGCCAATCTAAGCTTGCCCAGGCAACCCTTCATCTCCAGAATGACCCTGCCTCCATGGCTTCACTCAGGAACCGGCACACCTTGTCCATGTCCCCGGAAAATTGGTCATAGTACTTCAAGACATCCGCCTTTTCCTCCTCAGACCCGCGATACTTGGCCTCAAAATCGTCGAGATCTTGTTCTGTGACCTGCACGCAGCATGGAGCCTCTTGGGTTTGGCGGATCGCATGTTGAGATGCTGCAACCCAGGGGTGCAAATTCTGGCACCCTTCACTCCAAATCCGAACCGGGCCAGGTCGTTTCACACCCAGCTGCCCCAGCCAGCGCACCTCCTTATACATGGAGCGGTAAAATTCGAATAAATCCTCAAAAGATCCGGCTGAGGGGTTTTCCAGGTCATCTGTGACACCTGTCTCATCATAAAGCTTGCGCCTGGTCCACAATGGAGACGAAGAAGTGATTATAGCAGAGTGTGCAGGATGCAATCAGCACAAACTATCCCACCTTAACATACCTTTCCTCGTCCCCTAGCACAGCATATACGCGCGCTAGGGTCTGGAACCTCTCATTGGCCGTCTCGTCACCAGGGTTCTTGTCTGGATGGAGGAGCACGGCCAGCTTCAAATAGCTCTTTCGGATCGCGGCCTGGGTGTGTTGAAAGGGTGCGGTTGCTCACAACAGTACTTCCCCATAGTGTCGCACACCATTTCATACCTAAAGCCTCGCACCTGTGTGGCTGTGCTGTCCAGGCCCAGCACTTCGTACAGGGACCGATTACCCGTCATGGTGTCGAGTACCAGACTCTCTCACTCTTTCGGTAATCTATTATTACCGGTCGATTACAGGGCGTAGCTCTGGCAATATGTCGAGCTGGCAAAGAGCTGCTGGCCCATGCACGAGAAGGGCATGGCTGTGCATTTTCTTCTCGTCCTCCTCCAGGGCAAATCTCGCAGTACCCTCACAACCAACGATGCCGGGGTATGCGGGAGCGGCTCACCGTGTCCTCCGAGCGGTCGTCCGCCCAGCGTCTGCTCGGGAATACACCGCAACCCTTCTCAAAGATATCTCCTGAACCTCATTAGCATATCGCGCCCTGGTCCTGCTGCCTGACGTGCGCGCGTTTTAAAACTCCCAACCGCAGCTGGCGACAGCAGCGACGCCTGCGAGGATCCGGGAACCAGCTCTGCCCCCGCAGCTCCTGTCAAACGTACTAGCGATGCCTGCTGGGGTGGTGTCGGATGCCCGCGCGTGCCTCGCGACCCCAACAGCCTGATCCGCCTGACACGTCTGGGATCCCTCCCACGGGAAGCACCCCAGCCTGGGTGAGTGGATCTGTGACGTCTCTGTCACAGGAGAGCATCGAATTGAGTCCTTTGCATCTTCATTTCCTGAGATATATATTTTCGAGTTTGTCTTGCGCGTGCAGGCTCGGTCCTGGGGCCTGCATCCCGGGCACACTCTTCAGCACACCGAGGAGGCAGGAGGCAGCGACCAGGTCGGTCGGCATGGGAGGTTGCGTGACTGACTGGAATCAGGTGGAGGGCAGCCACGGAATCGATTTGAGCCGCGTGTGAGTTGGAATGACCCACATGATGTCGTGCAAGGGGCACAGCGGCTGACATCCTCTTGCCCCATTCATCCCGCATCGTGTAGTCTCACAGCTCCCAGGCCTCTTCACCCACCAAGCACGGGTTGCCGACCCCAATGGCCTCCCGCCGTCGATGTGGTCCGAGCGTCCACGTCCCCTCCAGCCCCCCCATCCCGCCCGCCCAGCTCCACCGCTGGCTGGGCGACCCCCCCCCGCCAGGCGAGGGCGGCTGGCCCCCCCCGGGCCGCGCGACGGCCGGGGCCCGGCACGAGGGTTTCGCCGCGCCCGGCGGCACGCCCCAAAGCCGCGCCCAGGCGGCGGCCTCCGACCCCGTCACCTACCAGACCCCCGCCGAGAAGGAGGCCCTGGCCGATTCTAGCAACCCCACCGCCCCGCCTTCGGCGCGCGGCGCGGCGCGCGGACCCCCCGCCGGCGGCAGCGGCGGCTGGGACGGCATCCCCGCCTACCGCCCCGGCGCCGCCTCCGAGGCCCGCCCCGGCCTGGCCGACAAGCCCGGGGCGGTGGTGAAGATGGGACGCCGCGCGGCCTGGCTCCGCACGCTGGCCTACGAGGGCAGCTGGCAGCTGTGCCTGGAGGCCATGCTGGGCGGGCAGGCCGAGATCGCGGTGCAGTTCTTGCAGGACCGCTGCGCCGCGCTGCGCGGCGCGCTGGAGCTGGACGGCCTGCTGCTGGGCACGGCCGCCTCCACGGGGGGCGGCGCGGGGCACGGCGAGGCAGCCATGTACTGGGACGACAAGGAGGAGGCCCCCCTGGCGGCGGTGGAGTGCGTGGCCGCCGAACCCGCCTCGCCCCGCTGCGCGCCGCAGTTCTACGACCCGGACGAGGCGTCGTGGGACGAGGCGGAGGAGGAGGGGGTGCCAGAAGTCGAGGAGGTGCAGGAGCCCGCGCCGCACTCGGGGCCTCGCCGGAGCGAGGCGCGCTGGGACCCGCTGCTGCAGACCACGTGCGTGCGGGTGGTCGGGTGCGAGGCTCTGAGCGCCGCGCCG